GGCTCTTATATTTGTTTCTGAATTCCATTCTTTGAGTGCTTGTTTAATTTTATCTCTCATTCTATTGCTTTTGTACAAACCACAGTGTCAATGAAACTGCTTTGTTTTTTTGAGATGTCTGCACTGCTGCATATATTCAAATTTCAGTTGCTTTGAAGAATCTTGAACATTGTATTTATCGTTTTAGTGTGATCTCAGTTAATACCTGACATTGTGATTATAATCACGAGGTCAGAAATTTATAAATTCCATAGTTACATCTGTTGCTGTTAGGCCTTGTTTGGGTAAACCTTACCTCAAAAAACCGGTTTGTAAGGACTGTAATATATTTTGGTCATGTCAAGTAGATGTGGGATAATCTCAGCACAAGGAAAAGTGAAACTAGAAGTTATGAGTGGTTCTATAATAGTCCCGTTGAGGGTTGTATTTAAGTAACTTGATTAGGAGAGGCGATTGTGGATCGTATGATGGATTCCAGGAGAGACTCTTATACCATGTTACAAAGTGATTTAGGCTTAACTCAATCCTATTAAACAGCTTCTAAAATATAAGGTTTGTATTGTATCTTCTTATATATTATTATGTAATTGGGTCATATCTCTAAGAAAAAGTATTTCTAAAAATACTTACACAATTTTGTATGAAATCGAAAGGTAGTTTGTTATTTTTATCAAAATATTTAAGTTGTTAGCGAGCTAAATGATTTAGTAAAAGTAACATGATGGTTTTTCTAGTAAAATTTCCGTTTTTGCGCAAGAAACTAGGCTAAAAGCCATTATCGGAAAGCCTTGTTTACTAGGAATGCTATGTTTAAAAAGTAAATTAAGTGTTGGAAACATACTCTCAATTTTAGATTCCCAAGAAACTAAAATCTTTCCTTCTATCAAATGTTGATGCTAACCAATGCACTTTAAAGGGAGTAAACCCCCATTTGAATCCCTGGATTATAATAGCGAATCACTTAAGTGCTGACAGACTTAAGTGAATCCTCACTTTATTATTCCCTGGCGGTTGCAACAAGTCGGTAATTTGAATCCTTTTCACTTCATTTTCCGTTGTCATTGTGCAGCAAAAAAAATACTATTGTTTATGATTCTTGGCTAAGTAAAGGATGGAAGTGATGGATATTTTCAAGGACTAAAATGGGGGTTTAATTGAACTTCCATAGCATAACAAACAATTCCTTTTTTCTTAAGGCCATTTAGAAAGGTGCGCTTCTCCGGTATTAGTAAGTAAAAGTATAGTTTAATAATTGAGCTCTTTCCTTTAATCCCTTGAATGATGATCATATTTCAGGCTGGCAATATCAACAGTCTCCCCCTACTGTACAATGCACACTGGAGAAAGCTTTAACTCAAGCAACAAAGCTTCAGAGAAAGGATCTCAGTTTGGTTGGTGCGAGCAGGACTGATGCAGGAGTCCATGCTTGGGGTCAGGTCTGATTTTGTTTCTTTTTTGTGACTTCAGCTTTGAAGTAAAACATCAGAAATTTATGACTTGGAAGAACTTTCTACTGCTGCAGGTTGCTCATTTTTTTACACCTTTTAACTATGACAATTTAGAAGATATTCATGCAGCTTTGAATGGCCTTCTTCCTTCTGATATCCGAGTTCGGGAGATCAGCCCTGCATCTGCTGAATTCCATGCTCGATTTTCTGCCAAAAGTAAGATTTACCATTACAAGATATACAATGATAGCATCATGGATCCATTCCAGCGGCGTTTTGCTTACCATAGTGTGTATAAACTCAATAGCGCTGTTATGAAAGAAGCTGCAAAACATTTTGTTGGGAAGCATGATTTCTCTGCTTTTGCCAATTCATCCCACAATGACCGGGTGCCGGATCCAGTGAAGCATATATTCCGATTCGATTTGAAAGAAATGGTATGTTACTAGTTCTACCATTTAAGTATTTTGCACTGTATTACCCTCTATGTATTTTTTTCTTTCTTTATTTTCTGTGAAGACTTTAAAGCTTAAGAAGACTCATTACTTCAATATCCCTGATTAGGGAGCTCTTTTGCAACTTGAAGTTGAAGGCTCAGGTTTCTTGTATAGGCAAGTCCGAAACATGGTAAATAGTCTTGTTCCTAATTAATGTAAAAGATTTCTGCAATTTCAAAATTACTTAACAGTTGTTCCACTTTTGCAATGAATATATCTGTTTGCTTTTCTAGGTGGCTTTGTTACTTCAAATTGGTAGGGAAGCTATCCCTCCTGACATTGTTGCACATATTCTGGCAAGTCGAGATCGCAAAGAGCTTGCAAAATACTCATTGTCTGCCCCTCCTCATGGCCTTTGTCTTGTTTCTATCAACTACAATGAAAGTCACCTATTGCCTCCACCAGGGTGTCCTGCAAACAGTTTTGGCAGGCATCACACCATAAGGAAATGCAAGGTTCCGATCTTTTTGTAATAATAGGCAGAAAAACAAACAGTCTAAGGTTTTTTTGGTAGTAATTACCTTAGGATTGAGTTTTTTACATTTTTAGATTTTAAGGATGTTTCAAAGATGTAACTTGATTGTAGTATTCTATTTGTTTAATTCAAATATGCAGTTCAGTGTAGTAGCCACCGGTATTTACTACATATATTGTAGAGTAAAAGATGGAATCATTTGTCTGGCCAGTTCTTCTAATGCACCACCCATCAATTTGATCCCAATATTGAAAAAGTAAAGAAGATGGTCCATTACTTTTGAAAATCTTTAAGCAATTTGATCTATTGACATTGCTACAACAACTCATTGTGATTTCTGTTATTACTAAATCAATTAATTTTGTTTAATAATGTTAAGAAATTTAATGATGTGGCGGTGTTCATGGTGTTTAGGTGAATGTAGTAACAATGTTAGAACAGTGTTAGTAGAGACAACAGTCATGATGATAAGAATGATAGTGACACAGGATAAATAATAAAAATGATTATAACGTGATCAGTGGGACGGTGATTCTCAAATATGACAAGAGTGGTTTTTAAAAACCATTTACTTTTTTTTTTTATTAAATACCCATTTCAATGAAAATTATATTTGAAAACTTGTAAAAAGAAAGTTGCAAATACTTCAAACGGATTTTAACCCTTAATCTTGGCATTCATGATCATTAGTCAATTTAGTTTCTAACAATTGATTGATATGCATCAATGTTTGGTTCCAATTTGATTGGTAATTACAAAGTTAAAAACTAGAGGCATTCCTTTCTCAACTCCGTAATTTCTCCTTACACATTTTATTTTTACAATTATCTTTATCTTGAAAATGCATTATGGATGGAACCTTTCTGAAAACATATTTTAGGACACTCAATTCAAAATATATTTCAGAAAGACTTTTCCAAAAATGCATTATAAAATACCCAATCCGAAATGTGTTTCTAGAAAAGTCAATCCAAAAATGCATTTCGGATTGAGTGTTCTGAAATGTGTTTTTAGAAAGGCCAATCCGGAATGCATTTTCGGATTGACCTTTCTAAAAACACATTCTAAAACACTCCATCTAGAATACATTTTCGAATTAATTTTTTTAGAATTGAACCTCATTTTTATAACACTGTTTCATAATGAACAATTTGAGTCTAATTGTGCATAGAAACATATAATTCATACGTAATATTAACAATTAGTTATCTTTAATTATTAGAAAAGACTTTCAATAAAGTGATAATAAAAAAAATCAAAAATAAAAAAAATCAAATAGCTAAAGGATAAAGGTATTGAGATATGAAGATACATAAGTTGCAAATAAATAAAACACAAGAAGTTAAGGTAAAAAATAAAAAAGAAATTAGGATAAAAAATAAAATTATAAAAAATATATTCTAAATATTTGACTTTTGATACGAGGTACTGAGAGAAATTATGTAGTAGGATTGAAGAGTCAAAACTAAATTTGTTTTCTTTCCTTACGGACCAAATTAACTTGTGATAATTTCAAGGAGTAACTTGTACGGGACCAAATAGACCGGTTTACAAATTTCAAGAACTTGGTTGGAATCAGGCAACATTTGCATTGCCAATAGCTACCCCTCCAGTGACTGATTAATCTTTCAGAACAACTGAGCAAGGATCTTGAGCTGCACATAACATGGAAGTTTCAAATTTGCAGCATTACAAAACAGAACAATGATGCCAGAGAATAGTAGTAGGACAACTAGTATCAATTTAGAAAATATTTGGTGAGACATTTTAAACTTTATATATATATATATATATATATATATAAAGTGGTATTATACACCGTTTGGATTCAGTTTAAGTATTAGGATGTAATGCCATTTTCTGAAAAGTTTTCACATCCACAAAAGCCTCATCAACATTTACTTCTCTTCTAATCTAGTCATTCTCATGGTTTTGTTCCAATTCCAAATACATGAGTTTTGCATCAACGTTGATGTTCAGTAAAATTACACAATCCTCATTAAAAGAAAAAAATAAAAATTAAGCAGCAAAGAACATGAAAATTTTGGAATTACTTCGAGTCCAATAAGCCCAGCGGAGAACAGATCAAATCATGACAGTAATTGCATAATAACTATCATGATTGTAAAATTTAGTGTCATTAAAACCAAACATTGGATAAACTACTTATGAGAAGTAATCTCCCACGTTTTCCCAAATTGTCAATCTGGTTTATATGCCAATTTCCTATAGAGTGTTTGGTTTGACGTTCAAAATTGTCAAACGTCCATTCACCTCAATGATACAAGAACAATGGATTGTATTCAACATGTCAGAATGTATATAACTAGTAAAAAAAGCCAGCTGGAAACAGAATCCCTAGCATTTTTTATGGGGACACCGTTGTCCTATAAACAGTGGCCAAATAAAATACTACTTGGCTAAGGTAAAAATGCTATCAAGGTCCTTCATGAACTTTATATCAGTAATATATGGTATCATCATCACAGCATCAAATACCATCGCAATGAACATCTGCTCATAATGTCAACAGCAGACTCTTATTCCTTCTAATTATCCTCTCTTTTCCTCCATTATACTCTAGGAAGCACGCTGATTATTAACTTGAGAACAATAGTATGTGTACGAGTCATGCGCAAGGTTCTGTGGAACACAAAAACATACCCAGGTCAGTTTAATGTCCAAAAAATTCAATATTATGCTTTCTATGGCAATAAATGATGAAAAAACAGTTGTCAGAATACCTGTTCCTGAGAGCGGAAATACATGAAGGGAGTATAATTCAAAAAGTTTGACACCCTAGATGTATAAATATCGGCATATCTGCGATAATAAACTTCAAAAGCTCAATATCAAAAGAGCAGTAGGATGAAATAGAAATCTGGGGCATCAAAAAGCAAGCACATACTTCTCAATTTGTCTCATCAAGTGGCTTTTATCCCATAGTCCAGCACGAGATAGAAAACCCCACCTAAAGCAGATATATACACCAAGTAAATAGCATGTGCACTTGGGAATAACAAAAATAAAAAAGCAAGACAAGCAGCATCTATATTGTAATGTAAAGAATACTCTCCCCTAACCAAATAGCAAAGGAAAAAAACAAAGATATCCCAACTTCTTTACAACTTTTTAAGTGCAAAAACCAGGATTATTGATATGGTCTGTAGTTTGTTTGGTATTTCGATAGGATGATGAGTTTGCCTTGTTATGTTTCATGTTCACTGTAACAAGAGCAGGTGGGGTTGAAGGTTTGCTGGCTAGAAAATATCACAACAGAGGATCTTTAGTCTTTCTAATAATATAAGTAACTATTTTAACCAGGTATACATTGCCTGAAATTACCAAGTCAATCACCAGTTATTAGTAATTCTTTTCCATAACAAATCAGTTATTAAAATACAAAGAGGAATTACATATTTAACCATGCGGAGGCGGTGAATAAATCAATTACAGGCTGGGTACAATTAGGAACCTTCTAAGTAAAAAGTTCTATCCTCTGAGCTTACCTTGTATTAAAGAGCTCCCCGTCTGCCTCCAGCATCGGAGCAATTTTCTTATCCAGTCTTTGCATAACAATAAGTAGCTTTTGCATGCTATCGGTGAGGTCTTCATCATTCATGTTAGTTGCTGCAAGGGTCTTTTAAGAACATGCAAAATATCCCAATCAGAATTAGAGCAATAGGCCAATAGTATATATAGCCTTGTCTGGGTAACTTCAAAATATTATAATGAAACCGCATGCTCTATGTAAATTTTCATGAGTTAAGAAGCATAGTTGAAACATTAAAAGGCTTCAAGATGTAAGAGGAAAAAATCTTCTCAAAATCAAAGGAAGTTACAGACTAACTAGGCTAATAATGTCAGAGTTTATAACAAAACAAACTAGCCTTAATTACTGATATAATTGAGAAATGTATTTAGATAAGGAGTACAGGCAACAAACTATAGCAGCTAAAGTTGACTACAAGGGTGGGTATTAAGTACTACTATCACACGAATGCAAAAGAAAATTCTTAAGAGAGGAATGCTTTGATATTGCCAACAATGGTATAGTATTGGCATTACTGCAAATAAAACATAGAAAATGGAATACATAATAGGATTATATGATCAAAACTTACTTGAGCAGGACGGTCTCTGCTACGCCTTTGCAGAGCCAGCCGAAGTTGGTTAAAGAGATCCCCTACAACCTCCTTTTGATTTATAAGCTCCACCAATGATTCTCTATAACTCCGGCTACCAATCAAGGCATTGTACTGCAGTTTCAACATTTACAAAGCACAAGGATTTTTCTTAGTTGGATCTAGTCATGGCATCATATTTGTTCTATAAGTACATATAGTTCGATACACTATTACTGAAAACCATTAAATACATTTTAGCTTTGAGTTAACAAGCAACTATACTATTTACTAATTTTGAGAAAAAAAGAAAAAGAAATTCTGGAGAGTTTTATTAGTCAGGAATTATTCAAACATAAGCTGGTTATACTAACCTCTTCTTCCAGTTCTCTACAAATCAATGCTGTTCGCCATCGCAAATGGACTTTGGATTGACTGACATCAGTGTAAATATGGTCCCCAACATACAATATCTCATCTCCATGAATACCTAGAGAATTTTCAACCATTTGTGCACATCCCCCTGAGTACAAACCACCTGCAGAGGATGGTAGATGAAGTACCATGGTCATCAGTAGTAACATTAGCAGCTCAATCATCCTGAGTGAAAACTTACATGGTGATTGGATGAGCAGTATTAAAATAAATTTTGGAAAAAAAATGTCAGCACTTTTACATTGATAAATATTAATGCATCATAAAATTATCATCCGTGTTTTCTTCCTTGTATTGTCTACATTTCTATAAAGGACGTAGAAGCAAATCCAAAAGCTAACAGTAACAGATGTATTCGAGAAAGGAAAACCAAAATAAAAATATATAATCCTTTTAGTTTTGTTAAGGAATAAAAGTAACAGATGCATTCCATTTTTATAAGTCCGGGAATGAACTTCAAAAATATTTCTCTGTTTTTGAAATCCTTTTTCCCTTGTATAGCAGCAGATCGAAAAAAATTATCAATAACAGATTTATTCAAGAAAGGAATGCTGAATTACAAATAGAGAACCTTTTTGTTTTTTTTTAAAGGATAAACAAGTTCACTTGTCTCAATTTGTATGGCTCGCATTCCATTTTTGGAAGGCTTAAACTAAACTGTAAAATAATGTGTTTGGCATCTTGAAACCCTATTGTCTCTTAAGGTCAACAAATTTGGGAACACTATTGTCGTTTTAGTTCAATAAATTTGTATGACACGCATTCCATTTTTGAAAGTCTATAGTGCACTTCAAAATTTGTATTTCTCATTTGAAAACTTAATTGTCCTTTTTAGTTCAATAAATTTGGGATAGCTATTCAAAATGACAGTCTTCATTTATATATTAATGTATAAAAAAAAAATTTAGAAAGATGTCATTATTTATTAGAAAATAAGAATCTCTATCTTCTTACCAGTTTGAGCCTTGAAACATGGACGCATAAGCCCCTCGCCTGTGACCACTTCATACATGGGGTGTGACATTTGAAAGAACTCTGGTTTTCTTGCTGAGACAATTACCTATCCATGAACAAACCATACCCAGTTATGCAAATTAATTTCATGAAAAGATAAGGCTATTAGTTATGGTGAAATGATGATGGGAAGAATAAAAATAAGAAAATAATTTACTCAAACTTACAATGTCAAATAGATCTCGCCAACCCATATCATTGGGAAGGAATCTATTAAAAGAATGGCGCATCATTTTGTCTGTGTAATGATAATCTGAGTTGGTAATTAGCAGAAGTTTTTTACCAGCCTGTTCACAGAAGACAACTAATAAGGAGTAGAAGGGCAACATATGTAAAGCAAAATACAACATATTAGAAGTATACCTCCTTCTGATCCAAAAGTGCCAAAGGTAATTCTGGATCAGGCTCCACAAAAAGTTCAGGCTTGGACATTATCTCGCTCTGCATAAATTTCATGTCATTTGTTGTGAATGAAGCACAACACCATAACTTCACAGTGGCCAATACAACAGCATGACTATGTTTACCTTAAGGCGACCTTCAACATGGGCCCAGAACAGAGCTTTCCCAACAGCCTGAAAGTTGTGCCAATGGTAAAGAAAAGAATGTAAATAACCAAATATATCATCTATGGTTCTGAAACATTTGCCCCATATTACCTTATATAGTCCTTTATAATCAAGAGGGCCAAGATCCGCTGGTATAGTCCCATCATCCAATCTGTCAACCATCTGAAAGAAATAGTACATCATTAATGAAGCCTCATCATAAAAAGACTTATTACATTAAATAAAAATTTTACAAACTTATATCAGAAGCTACATAAACCAAGTAAATAGAAACTACATAAGCCAAGATAACATTGTATCAAACTATCAAATGAGGTTTCCAACAGCAATTGTAACATACCTGCATATAGGCCACAGCTTCAGACACGGAAAACAGTGTATTGAGAAACTCCCATCGACTCTCTTTTCGCAGGTCCACCAGTTCTCTCCCATACATCTCACTTCCATTGCATATAAAATTGAGTAGCACTCTCTAATTTTTGATAAATAATATCTACTAAACTCGTGATGCGTATGAGCATGCATGCATGAGTGTTAACAATGTCTATATAACACATATCAATTTGATGACTGTGCAGCAACACAGTCAACCACCAAATTTTAGGTGATGCTTAATGTATGTTTTGACTACTATTCATTATCAGAAATCAAGATACAAGGTCTTTTACCTCACAGCACGCGTAGATAACATTTTGGTGCCATGCATGGCTCTTTTAACATAACCAAATCGATCAGCTTTAACCAAATTTCCTTTCTCTTTGTCTATGACAAGGCCTCTAATTACCTGAACAATTTATAATAGAATGCAAAGATCAGCTCAACCAAAAAGAGAGAATATGGATGCCAAATGCTTTCAGCTCGCCCGAGGAAAAATGTTACCAGATCAGGATCAAAGGCAAGTCCATCAACAGGGAAGCCCATATTCCTAAGGTTTTCCATACAGTAGTCATAAGCCCTGCCTTCCCAAGCCTGTAAGAGAATATGTTGATATCAGAATAGTCCGTGACCTGAACAGAAATAAACCTACAGTTCCAGGAAGCACCGCACAATACAAAAACTATTGCGTGCTTCTATGATTCTGAAACACCATGCTAATGATTTTAACATACAAGAATAAAATCATAGAGCACATAATAGGGGGAATACTTGTATTTTACCAGTGTAGTAAGCATAAGAACTAATATAGTACAATAAAATAGTATTGAGTATTGACTCAATATTACCTTATTCCAATATTAAGGATGTACTACAGGAAAATTTGTTTATAAATGTGACACATAACACAGTAAAAAATTGAACAAAGGAAGTTAAATCTGCATATTTAGTGATGAGAATTATACATGATACATGGAATAGAATTATACCATCACATTGTAATGAATCAAGGTATAGTCCATATCATATCCAATGGCACTGATGGACCGCAGATTCAATGTACGGCTGCAGAATATTCCACGAGGCGAATTTCTGGATGAATAAGGGCTCTACACAAGCACAAACAAGTGATATTTTCTTACAGAACATGAATCCACTTCTCAGTCAAAACCAAATAGAAAAGAATGAGTAAAATAAAAATAAAAAAGGAAAAATAAGAGTACCATTCAGAAACAATAACTAGATGAAAATGTAAGTGATAGTGGTTGTGAGAAAGGTTGATAATTATATAAAATGTTCACATTTTAGGGTAACAATCCATAATAAAAAGTAGAAATTTATCTCATGGGGACATCAAAAGAAAACAAAGCAATTAAATTATAAATAAGTAAATGTTATTAAGTATCATCCTTTCAAAACTTTCCTGAAACCTACATAGACATTGTACACAATGGACTACGGAGAGATATCTGAAACCAAAGAGGCATGTGCAGTTTGTAAAACTGGTCAGCTCATGATGTTTGAATAGACTTTGTAAAACAAGGTAAGGATAACGTCATTTGCTTCACAACTTGTCACTGTGAGATGTCAAAATATTAAACATACAACGAAAAACACAATTTGTAGCATATGTAATGTTCATTATCCAACCATGCCTGTGTTAAAGAGAATTTGATAATGCACAAATATTCACACAGCAGATCAGGATGCTACCATATATATATATATATGTATATATTCATTCATTTAGCAATTAAATAGAACACAGGGAAATAGACTGAAAATTGAAAAAGCATCAGCAAGCAAGGACTAGGACCGGAATGCCCAAATCTTTTAGCAAATCCTGTGCTTGTCTTGCTTCTGATCTGGCCACTTCCTCAATTGGACCTTTTAAAGCAGAATGACCATCAATTCCTACATGCAGGGGACCAATGCATTGTTTAGTATAAATTTACAAAATCATATTCAATTAAAAGAGTAAGGAGAAGTTGATTTCAATTTTTTCTTACTATTTCTTATCCTATATGTGGTTACATTGTCATCAATCACAATCACAATCACAGTCACACAAATTTTGGCGGTAACAAAAAAAAAAAACATATTCGGTTTAAGCTGATATTTTCTGTTTATTGTTCAGAAACATTAAGAAATAGTTATTCGAAACTTTCACATTATATATATTTTTTTATTAATAAAGCTACCAAGAAACATATTACAATCCAAAACACATGCAAGTAGACAAGGACCGAATAAATACACAAAATGGGAACCTGAAAAGTTTCAAGATTTACCGAAAGCCTCAAGATGCTCCAATTTGACGTTCAAATCACCTTTGGTGCTTTCCCCGAGGTAGTCCACATCGGAGTTGTACGACGGCGTCACGGAGAAAAAGTCAGACTTTGAATCAGCACTGCAACAACAAGGTTTCAAAGTCTTGGGCACCTTCAAATTCACGCCGTGAGAAGTGAGTCTGATGAAAGCTGCGGTTTTAAAGCACTTGTTGTCGCTGGGCACCACCGCAGCCGAAGCATGGCTGCCACGGACGGCGAAGACCCCCCTAAGGTCTGTGACGTTCATGAATTTGCAGTGGCTGAAGTGAGGGAAGAGAGGAAAGAATAACAGGGATTGGTGGGGAACAGTGTAGGTGAATAGTGAAGAAGTGTTTAAGATAAAGTTTCTCCCAAGAGAGTAGAGAGTGCGAGTATACATTGCATACAAAAATACTTTTCTTATACTTTTTCTCTAAATTTGGAATTGCATCTGGATTTTGGATTTGATTGGGATGTATTTTGTCAAGTTATATATAAAAAAATATTGACTTAAATTATATGAATATTGTTTATAATATACTCAGATATCTTTCTTACCACATTTTTGTTAAATTTTACTGAATTTATAACAAATTGTTTAATTGTTTGTACTTAATTATACATCGTGTCATAAATAGATTTTGTTAAAATATTGATTTAATATATTTTACTACTAGTTTTGACGTTAAAAAAAAATATAGAATAAAATATATTTTTTATACAATGATTATTAGAATTTAGTGTCTGATCCTGGTACATTATGATTTATGTTTGTTTATTTGTAGGAAAAGTAACCATATAAGAAAATGAGTATAAATTAATAATTTTTTTATTGAGTAAAAAAATAAAATCTCGTTTAGAACACTCCAGCACTAGTTATTCTAATTATTAATAGATTCTATATTCTGAAAATAGTTAAAGATAGTCCAAGATGATTTAATTCCCTCAACATAATTATTATTTAAATAAAATATCATAAATGATCATAAAAATCAAATAAATACTTTTATATATTATTTAATTATTTATTTATAATATAATATAATATTATTTTGTTAATTTAATTTTAAATAATTTTAGAAAAAATAATTTTATAACAAAAATATTTCCATTTATTTACAGAAAAATTATAATGAACACGAATTAAAAAAAATCATTTTTAGGTAACACAAAATATCACTTTTCCTTTTAAGATTATTTTCTATTAGCACAACAAAAATTGAGAAATGTAAGAAAATATTGTTTTATAAAATTATTCTCACTCAAATAAATAATTATTATTTTTATGTTTATAATTTATATATATATATATATATATTAATTATTATTTATATAAAATATCATAAATACAAAAATAATTATTAAAATTAAATAAATATTTTAATATATTATTTATTTATAATATGATATTATTTTGTTAATGTAATTTTAAGTAACTTAAAAACATAATTTTATAATAAAAACATTTTAAAATTATATATGAAAGTATATATTATTGAAAAAAATTATATATATATATATATAATTTAAAATTAGTACTTAAAAAAATATTTTATTAATAAAGAAATCAATTACAAATATATAAATAATTTTATAATAAATAAATAAATTATTTTAATTTAATTATTTTTTTTAAATAATATTTTTTTCTTCTTATATTCTTTATTTTCAAACAGACCCTTTGTCTATTAAAATTTTAGTCGTCACCTTTTAAAACTTTTTTAGTTTAAGACAGTTAATAGATGGTGAGGGATATTTTTAAGTGTGCAAGAATGTATAATATGTTTTTTATTTTTATTCTAAGGGCTAAACTAAAAAAATTTAAAAACCACAATTGGAAAATTGGTTTCAAAATAAGGACTAATAATTTTTTCTGTGTGATCATCCATTGTGAGTTGCGATTCCAAGCCTTGCTAGAAGAAATCCTAGAAGACACAATTACTGGTGTCTCTTTCAGAAAGAGGTTCCCAACTCTGACGTGAATCCTAGGTTAAGATACGGCTAATAGTAGAGAAGCGCCATTTCAGTTTGCGAGATTTTTCCTCAATCAATCTGGGTGATCGTCATTTGATTGGAGAAATTGTGTTTGTGGTAGTCGAGAAGTTCCCACAGCACGAGAAACCGTGGAAGATGATGGTTCTAGGCTGTCCAAATTAGAAGGTAGGGTTATAATTTTTATAAATACTTTTATAATATATATTTTTTTATGATAAGTTTTTGTTTATTATGTTAGAGGATAGTGCATTGTGATATTTTGGGTGGATGTATATCAATGATGAAAAGATTGATGTAATTGATAGAATGTTTATGAAAACTATTGAAGAGTACAAGATGACAGGGAAGTTGCAGAAAAAGTTCTATGCGAGAAAGAAGAAAGGAAAATGCTTTATAATTATTATATATGTTTGGTCATTGATAAGCCTATTTATTTTTCCTGATGGTTTTGGAAAATGTAAGAGGATTTAGGAATAATTAGTTATTGTTGCAGAAATAGGGTTTGGTTGTGTCATGAGTTATTATCTTATTTTTATGTAATGTTTTTTATTGACATGAATATAAGGAAGATTAAGTTGTGTTATGAGTTATTAACTTATTATTATGCAATGTTTTGATTGACAGGAATATAAAGAGTGTTGTGTAATTGACATATGAATTAAAGTTCTCTCAATTATACCAATTTAAATTCTGCAATTAAAACAGAGATCACATGAAAGTAACATTGATTGTGCATGTGCAATTGAAAAAAGGGATTAGGGATTATATGGAAGTAATGCTGATTGTGCAAGTGAAAAAGGAGACCATATAAAAGTAGCAATAATGGTGCCATTGAAAAAGAAGACCACATAAAATATGCATTAATATTGTATGTACTATGTATGAAATAGAAAACCACATAATGATTCTGCATAAATATCAATTAAAGAAGGGGGATCACGTAGTGTTATATAAAACATAGTATTGATTCTCCATGAAATAAGAAATATGAAATTCTAATACAACCAAAAGAAGGAATTTGCTCTTATGCAGTCAAAAAAGGATTCGGCATCATATTCTACAACTAACTATTGTTTCATATTACAACCAAAAAAACATTACATAGATCCTTAATTTCATGTTACAATTTCAAAATATCCCTGGAGTCACTGACGTAGAATCTTTTATATATGACTTTACTAGTGGTGCAGGTGTTCTGAGGTGTTGCCACTGTCCCACTCACTGTAGCTTGTGTTTTCTCATTTGTTAACTGGTCTAGATTGGTTCCTTCAGCTATCTACAGATGTATTTTCAATAGAAAAATGAAACAAATTATTAATAACTGTCTTCCATATTTTGTTTTCAAATGACAGCCATCTATGCCTAAAAATGACTTACAAGTATGTTGAAAAGCTATTTTACACCCATGTAAATAACACATATATACAATCTACCAAAATTTAGGGGCTAAGTTTGCTAAAGTTTGATTTAGGTTGCTCTATTGACAACTTAAATTAGCCTTCGCAGTCTTTTTTCAACTCCCTAGCATATGACCACAACATGGAGTATTGTTTGTGACTAGCTTCATCAATCCTTTCATTGCCAATTACCTTATTTTATAAAGAGTAGATGTTTTTTAATGTCTTGGATAACTTTTGTATTTGTTTTTAACCTGTGTATGTTTTGCCATCCATTTTGATTTGTCATTTTTGTTCCACAACACTTTTCCATAATCATGGTTAAGATTGCATACAATATTTTAAATGTGTGACCTTTTCCAAGTGTACTCACATTTATTCTAAACCCACACGATCTTGATTACAATCCACATTAACTTTGTTTTTTTTTCCATTTCTCTCAAATTTGACATGTTTTACATTCAAAATTGAATGTTCCATAATTGCTTCTCTAAACTTAGTCAATGAACTAAACTGCATTCCTAGTTCAAATTCAAAGTTAGGTTGCATTTATGCACATTCAAATTTTTTTTAGCATTCTTACATATGATTTCACCCATAGTCACTCTTTATTTTTCCAAATTTAATATCATCAGTGTTAGGCACTACACTATAATTTTCTTCATTCATTATCATCAGAATTAGACACTTCACTGTGTCTTTGCTCTTCTACAGAAACCTTCATGTTATTGTCACTAACATCACTTGACTCCTTAGTATCTATTGTCTCAGACTCATGATAACAAGCTTCTTCCTATTTCAATTTTTTTTTTCTTTTCCCTTTAGGTTAACTCTATCATCATTATCTGCTACATCTGCATTACATTTTTCAGTAGTCAATTCTTCCTTCAGACACAATGTTTGGGACATTCACGGTCAAATGTTTCACATAAACATGTGCTTCAACTCTAAGAATTAGAAAAAGAAAATTTTAAATGGGTCGAAACATACACATGTCTAAGAATAGTTATAAAACATATTTTAGCCTGTTACATTCATAATTCATATTGTTATATATATATATATATATATATATATATTATGAATTAAAATTTTAACGTTAATATTATAAATTCAATGAATTTAATAAAAAATATTAATATTTTACATTAATGATATATACTGTATATATTAATGCAGTGTTTTATAATAATTGAAAATTTTTAAAGGTTGTGTTATTCACTTCCTACACAAAACACAGCTTTCAAAATGAAAAAAAAAGTTGACAATTTTAATAAGGAGAGAATCATTCTTCGTTCGCATGCCGGAAGAGAAAACTAATTATTCAGTAATTAAACAAATATTTAATTTCCATATCTATAAAAAATTATTTTAAAAATGTGAATAACTATCATTACAGACAGAACTGTCATGATAGGTATAAAATAAAAAAATCTGGATAAAAGAAAAGAAGAGGAGTTAATATATATATATATATATATATATATATATATATATATATAAGTATTAATAGAAAAACAATAATTAATAATGATTTTATTAAAATATTTGTTTTAGTTTTTGGAAATTAGAAAACTAAAATTGATAAAATATCTTTTTTATTTTAGTTTTCTAATTTTATAAATTGTATTAACGTTTTAATTAAATAATAATACTAATATATTTAGTCCTTAAAAATATTAAATTTTAAAAAAATTAAAAACAAGTTAAAAAAAATGTAGTATATCAAAATTAGCATTTAGAAATGAAAACCATTTTTTAATATAATTGATTTGTTTAATTTAGTTCAAATTTTTAGTTTTTAAAAGTATTTTTAATAAATAATTTAGTTTTTTTTTTACAATAAGTTAAAAAATAAGTCTTGTTTAGTAATTATAGATTAATAAATGATTTACCAATGATAAAATGAAAAAATTGTTTCATTAAATTATTTTAAAAAATGATTTTAAAAAAACTCATTTGGTTATAATATTTGTATTAATTATTATTTTAATAAATATATTTAATTTTAGTCTTATGAAATATAAATAAAATATTTGTTTTTCAAAGAATTATAAGAAAAATAAAAAAAATCATAAATATTAAAAACTAGAAATATGTGTTATATTATTTATATAAAAAATAATAAAGATAAAATAAAAATTAAGCAAAAAATATTTAGAATTAGATTTGATTAGATTAATTATTATATTATGTCCGCCTCCAATTTGCAATATGATTTCTATATATTATCATTTAATTGCACTTTCATGGATTTGTAGGGAAAGATAGTTGCTTGTAGGAGAAGCTGTATTTTCATCCATTGGAGAAGAATATTGTTTGTAGGAAAAATGCTTCCTCTGTCATTATAAATTAAAACATTGTTTTCCAACTCGGAAGAAGTTGATTAAAAATAGAGATGGAGATATTGATTAATATAAGATGCGATTCTAACCACAACCTATTATAAAATATTGGTTAATATTGACTTTTCACAAATGAAAACTATCGAGTGAAAGATATAAAATATGAAGAGAAAAATAAAGTTGCTTTGTTAGAATGAAATAAAAAAAATAATAAAAAAAATTAAAACTTTTAAATTCTTTTCAAATTTAAATTATTTTGTCCAATAGAGTTTAATAAAAATATTACCTTTTTAGATTTTTTCCAATCAAACAATGTTCCAAAGAAATTTCTCAGATTTTTTTTCTTAACTTTTCATCGATTTATGGTGTCTTATTCTAGAAAATAGAAGGAGAGTTTGTGTCTCAATCATTCCGTGATGCTTTCAGATATGTTCTAGGAAATTATGCAAAAGCAGTGGTCAAGGTTGCACGCTTCCACTTTTTCCATGATGTTCGTTGCAATGTCAACATTTTTTATCAACACAAATGTTTATTTGACATTTATCCTTCAAAATAGGAGATAAAAATATTTATCAACGTTTATTAGAAAAGTGTTTTGTTTGGGTACCACGCAAAGTAAGGCATCTTTGTGCACATGTCCCTAACTGTCAAGAATCAACCAACCTTCACCTTTATGTTTTTCAAAATATATTAAATCTTTTCATTATATTCAATCTTTTAACTAATCTTTCTAATTTTTAAGTACTATAAATCAAATAACACATGTTTAAATAAATTTTCAGTAGAATTCAGACACCTTAAATATTTAAAATAAAAATTATCACCATCTAAATTTTAGTATTGTTTTTCTAATACTTTCATTATTATTATTATTATTTTTTAAATCTCATTTCTCATTTGTTAACGATAGGTTGATTTTAGATATATTTTCACACACACACATATATATATATATATATATATATATATATATATATATATATATATATATTAATAAATTTTACTAACCTCTCATTTCTCTGATGAATTTTCTTGGCGAATAGTCCTAATAATTTTTAATTAAATAATCACAATTTCAAAACTGCATTGGTAGTCATTAACATTTTTACTTAAGTACAATAATGTAACAAACCACATAAATGAATCGATTTGGGACTTTTAGCAGTCAGAAGCAAAATTTGACTCGGACTACTGAATTAGCTTGCTTGCAAAGAAACTTCAACGTCCAGACTTTTAATTAATTTATCCAAAGCTTGAAGTATGAACTCATTGAACTATATAACTTGCTAACGGAGTTCAACATTCCCAACCCACAAATTTTTTATTCATTCATTCATTCATTCCTCTGTTGTTGATTTCTACGGTTGCTTTTCTATCTTCTCTGAGCAAATTGCTTCAACTTCTTCTTGTAAAAGGTTCATTTCTTCTTCTGTTTTCCTTGCATTTTTATCTCTCCATGATTTGATCTAGATTTTGTTTGAGGTAACTTGTTGCCATTATCTTATATATGTATGCCATACCAATATTATCTGATAATGTGATGAATCATGGATTGAGTTTTTATTGAAAGAGGTGTCTATATTTAGTATTTGACTGTACTTTGAATAGAATCCTCTCTAAAGAGGATACTCATGGAAAACCAAAAAAAGATGTATACTGAATTATTTTTTGAAGTTGACAACGAGTGTGAAATTATCATCACCTTCTTCACAAAGTCAATGTACACACAACAAACCAGGAAACAAAACAGAAAAGGAAAGAAAAAAAAAAACAGAGATAATGAGCATGATGGAGAGAAGTGTGTGTTGTGTGTTGCTCACTTAATGCATTTCATGCAGCTGTTTTAGGTTTACCGTCATTGGTAGAGGGGTCTGTAAGCAAAAGGAATCTTTCTCCATTGAGATGGAAGGGGATATCAGTGTGAACGGAGATCCTAACAACAATCAAGAATCAAAGAAGAAAGAGTCCAAAGATGAACCCACCAAAACAGTACCCTTATACAAACTTTTCTCATTTGCTGATTCTTTGGATCACTTGTTGATGTTGGTGGGAACTGTGGGTGCAATTGGGAATGGAATCTCCATGCCCTTAATGACTGTGATATTTGGAAACATGATCAATGCATTTGGAGGATCCAGTACCACGGAAGAAGTTGTTGATGAAGTTTCCGATGTATTTTCTCGTTCATTCCTTTTACTATTACTAATCCATATTTGTGACATAGTATCCTTAAAAGTTGGAATATAACATTTGTGATGAATTCCTCTGTTCAGGTGTCTCTGAAATTTGTGTACTTGGCTGTGGGTACCTTTGCAGCATCACTTTTGCGTAAGTGCAACAGAATATATGTTTTTATTATCTGACTAGTTAGATTGTTGCAATATGATCAACCACTAAAGAAACTGTGTTTGCTATGTACCAGAGTTGGCATGCTGGATGATCACTGGAGAGAGACAAGCTGCAAGAATTAGAGGCTTATACCTTCAAACAATTCTGAGACAAGATGTCACCTTCTTTGATAAAGAGACTAATACTGGAGAGGTTGTAGGAAGGATGTCAGGTGATACTGTTCTTATTCAAGATGCCATGGGTGAGAAGGTATTAATGAACGTCCCCTCATAAATCATCACCAATTCGTTTTCTTCTAGCTATAAAGAAGCAGAAACAAAAGAGTTTTAGTTTAAGGTTAGTTAATTGTTTTTCTCCCCTTTGATACCAGGTGGGACAGTTTATACAATTAATCGCAACTTTCATTGGAGGATTTGTTGTGTCATTCATCAAAGGATGGCTTCTAACTCTTGTCATGCTGTCTAGTATTCCACTTCTTGTCTTGGCCGGGGCTATGATGAGCCTGGTTATTACAAAAGCGTCATCCAAGGGACAAGCTGCGTATTCCACAGCATCAAGTGTAGTAGAGCAGACAATTGGTTCTATCCGGACTGTACGCACACAGGCTAAAAAATCTCTTCATTTTTTCTTTTTGTTATTGCTGATATGTAAATCACCTTTATCTCTCTAATGCAGGTTGCGTCATTCACTGGGGAGAGGCTAGCAATAGCTAAATACAATCAGTCATTAATCAAGTCATACATGACTGGAGTGCAAGAGGCACTAGCTTCTGGTTTGGGTTTTGGTGCGCTCTACTTCGTTTTTATCTGCAGTTATGCTTTGGCAATTTGGTTTGGTGCGAAAATGATAATCGAGAAAGGATACACAGGAGGAGATGTTGTGACTGTAGTGTTTGCTGTATTGACTGGCTCCATGTAAGTTTTGTTTCTTTTTCTTTCTTTATATGAACCTATAATTTCACAAAATATAAACCTGCCTAACTATACTGCGAATGCCAGGTCTCTTGGGCAGGCATCTCCAAGCTTGAGTGCTTTTGCTGCAGGACAAGCTGCAGCCTTTAAGATGTTTGAAACAATTAAGAGGAAGCCAGAAATTGATGCCTATGACACTAATGGTCGGAAGCTTGAAGACATTCGTGGCGATATAGAGCTTAGGGAGGTTTGCTTTAGTTATCCTACAAGACCTGATGAACTGATATTCAACGGATTTTCGCTTTCAATACCAAGTGGTACTACTGCAGCTTTGGTAGGACAAAGTGGAAGTGGGAAATCCACAGTTGTTAGTTTGATAGAGAGATTTTATGATCCACAGTCTGGTGCAGTACTTATTGATGGTATCAATCTCAAAGAATTCCAACTCAAATGGATCAGACAGAAAATTGGCCTAGTCAGCCAGGAACCGGTTCTCTTTACTTGTAGCATTAAAGACAATATTGCCTATGGCAAGGATGGAGCAACTGATGAAGAAATCAGGGCTGCGGCAGAACTTGCTAATGCTTCCAAATTTATAGATAAACTACCTCAGGTGAGTTCTCAAACCTCATTTAGATGTAGAAACTGCATCGTGAATTCGTGCCTAGCAGTTTTAATTTTTTTCTTCCTTTCTTTGTAAGGAATATTTTTATCTTCACAATGTATAAGACAAAATATAAAAATTTCTTACTATATCTTTATTATTAAAAGGTCCTTTCACCTCAATAATTATATATGAATTATGAACTTAGGGACTAGATACAATGGTTGGTGAGCATGGAACTCAGCTCTCTGGGGGCCAAAAGCAGAGGGTGGCAATAGCAAGAGCAATTTTGAAAGACCCAAGAATCCTACTTCTGGATGAAGCTACAAGTGCCCTTGACGCTGAATCTGAGAGAATTGTACAGGAGGCATTGGACAGAATAATGATAAACCGAACAACTGTCATTGTTGCCCACCGCTTGAGTACTATAAGAAATGCCGATACCATTGCTGTTGTTCATCAAGGAAAAATAGTTGAAAGAGGTAAACATATTATATAGTAATAGAAAACTATCTTTTCCGTGACTTACATTTTTAGAAGGCTAATAAAAATTTAAATCCTATTCTTTATGTTCCTCATTGCATGACTATACGTTATAATTAATCAGGTTCACACGATGAGCTCACCAAGGATCCGGAAGGAGCCTATAGCCAGCTCATCAGACTTCAAGAAATTAAGAGGTCAGAACCGAATGCAGAAGACAGAGAAAAACTAGAGAGTATATCGCATTCTGGAAGACATTCAAGTAAAAGGTCTTTCTTACGATCTATAAGCCAAGAGTCATCGGGAGTGGGAAACAGTGGTCGTCATTCATTCTCAGCATCATTTGGTGTGCCCACATCTGTTGGCTTCATAGCACCTGCCGGTGAAGGGCCTGAAGATCATCCTACAACGACTCCTTCACCACCAGAAGTGCCTCTTCGTCGCCTGGCTTATCTAAACAAGCCAGAGTTTCCAGTGATACTGATGGGAACTGTAGCTGCAGTGATATCTGGAGCAATATTACCTGTTTTTGGTCTATTACTTTCCAAAATGATAGGCATTTTCTATGAGTCACATCATGAACTTCGTAAAGATTCAAAAGTTTGGGCATTAATATTTGTTGCGGTTGGTGTGGTATCCTTGCTGGTTTTTCCGGCTAGATTCTACTTTTTTGGTGTTGCCGGTGGTAAGTTGATCCAAAGGATCCGTAAAATGTGTTTTGAGAAAGTAGTTCACATGGAAGTAAGTTGGTTTGATGAAGCTGAGAATTCGAGTGGAGCAATTGGAGCAAGACTCTCTACTGATGCAGCTTCTGTTAGAGCTTTAGTTGGGGATGCACTTGGTTTGCTGGTTCAAAATATTGCCTCAGCACTAACTGGATTGGTAATTGCCTTTGAATCAAGCTGGCAGCTTGCTCTTATAATCCTTGCTATGGTGCCTCTACTTGGACTAAACGGATATCTGCAAATCAAGTTCTTGAAAGGATTCAGTGCAGATGCAAAGGTTTGTTCCTGACTTTCACTATGCCACCATCAACTAACAATTAGAACAAATTACATGAAAATATTTTGGAGAAAATATATTGATAATTCTGAATATAAGTAATAAATACAATTCTTTGAACATTTAGCATATTACTGATAGGAGTGGAAAATTTACTTCTGCGTTAACGATCATGGATTAACAAAGTTACAAGCATATGCTCCGAATGCATTTTTGACATAGCTGTATGTTACGAATATTGATATTTTTTTATGCCCACAGAGATTGTACGAGGAAGCAAGTCAAGTGGCGAATGACGCCGTGGGGAGTATAAGAACAGTTGCTTCTTTCTGTGCTGAAGAGAAGGTGATGGAGTTATACAGAGGAAAATGTGAAGGACCAATTAAGACGGGCATAAGGCAAGGGATAATAAGTGGAGTTAGTTTTGGAATATCATTCTTTGTGCTGTACGCAGTCTATGCAACCAGTTTTTATGCTGGAGCTCGACTGGTAGAGGATGGCAAAACATCATTCACCAATGTTTTCCGGGTAAGTGTCTCTCCTAACTTGTTCACCATGTAAAATATTCTATCACTTTTCGTTTCTTGTTGGCAAAATTTCTGCTAAGTTATTAATCACCAATATAGGGTAGTCCTGTACACAAGGCTTCCAACAAGTTGGCATGTTTCTTGTATTGATGATTTTGTCTCTCGATTTGCAGGTCTTTTTTGCTCTTAGTTTTGCAGCTATAGGAATCTCTCAATCTGGCTCTCTGGTCCCTGATTCAGTCAAAGCAAAAGGTGCTGCTGCTTCCATATTTGCCATTATTGACCGAAAGTCTAAAATAGACCCAAGTGATGACTCTGGAATGACATTGGAAGAAGTGAAGGGAGAGATTGAGCTTAAGCATGTCAGTTTCAAGTATCCTACAAGACCTGATATTCAAATATTCAGAGATCTTAGCTTGACCATTCATAGCGGCAAGGTAGCCTTCTAATTTGAACATCTTGTCTTCTTCACTACGCTAAATTTTTCTTCCTAACCTAATAGATTGATTGACTATTCTGATAAAATAAACAGACAGTTGCACTGGTTGGAGAAAGTGGAAGTGGGAAATCAACAGTGATCTCATTGTTACAAAGATTTTATGATCCAGACTCAGGTCACATTACACTGGATGGAAAAGAAATTCAAGGTCTGCAAGTTAAATGGCTTAGACAGCAGATGGGTCTGGTGAGCCAAGAGCCTGTACTGTTCAATGACACCATCCGAGCCAATATTGCATATGGAAAAGGAGACGCAACTGAGGCAGAAATTATAGCTGCGGCAGAATTGGCAAACGCCCATAAGTTCATTAGTAGTTTGCAGAAGGTAAATTGAAGTGTTCTATTGACGTAATCTTCAGTTCAATTATAGTATATATCTTAAAAAGTTCTGAATTAGTGCAAGTTATGTTGACACCGTATGTTATAAATGCAGGGTTATGACACGGTAGTAGGGGAGCGAGGAGTTCAATTATCTGGGGGACAGAAGCAACGGGTGGCAATTGCACGAGCTATAGTGAAGAATCCAAAAATATTACTTCTAGATGAAGCCACAAGTGCACTTGATGCTGAGTCTGAGAAAGTGGTTCAGGATGCACTTGACCGTGTTATGGTGGACCGGACCACAATAATAGTGGCTCATAGGTTATCCACTATTAAGGGTGCTGATTTAATTGCAGTAGTTAAAAATGGGGTGATAGCAGAGAAGGGAAAGCATGAAGCATTACTCAAGAAGGGAGGTGACTATGCTTCCTTGGTTGCGTTGCACACGACTGCTTCTACTTCTACATCTTAGTCCCCATACAACTTAGTTCCCAGCAAAATCTAGTCACTAGGAATTTTGTCCTTACTAATGATGAATCAGGTTTAGATGTCACACTCTCTGGTGGCTTTAGTCATATGTAAGATAATATTCTTTCTTTGAAAGTAGTGAGTGTAAGAATATGTTTATTTTCTTTCTTTCTTTTTTGTTCAGGAAATGGTTTTTGTATCTCATTTGTATTATTTTACATATTTAAAGATGTCTTTCACAAAATTTGGTTACTAATTTACTATACAGAACCTGTGTGCTTGATGTTTAAAATAATTGATGCGTAAAATAAAACTCTTTCTAATTCAACCAATTTTTCTGCTGAAGATTGAAACATTATGAGGAATATCGAAATCATTAGGTGTGAGAAATTCAAGGACATCCTAATCTAGTGAACCTTAATTTTAGCTAGAAAAGAGGATGAAAGAAGTGCACCATTGACTTATCCGAACATAACCTTAATGTGTGGTTGTTTTTGGATGGACTTTGAGCAGATGAAGTGTATCTTGGTTATCATTTAAGTCATAATTTAAATAATTTGGTTGCAGATAAAGTCATGACTTTGTTGGATGAGTTTTTCATTGAAGTCATATTTTGGTACATCACTTGCTTCTATTTTTTCAAACAAACCTAATTTATGCATCTCACAATCTTAATACATAAGCAATTCAAGGCTTGGCTTAGTTTTCATTTTTGTGCGTGGAAATATGCAACTCTGACCTTTTCTAGAAGCTTGAGTATAGTTTCTCATTCCAACTACAATAATTATATATGTTTAACATTTTAATCCTTTAACTTATAACTTATCCACTTTTTTTTTTTTTTACAAAATTTATTCATTTTAATTAAAAGGATGTAGAGAATGTCTGTTCAAAGAGCCAGAAAAATTAATCAATAATTATCAATAGCAGTATCTATAATCAACTTTTTCCATACAGTATATTTCAATTAATTAACAGCTATATAAATAAAATGATTGTTTTTTCCATAAAACATTGTAAATATATATTATATGTTTAATTTCTAATAAATTATTCTTCCAACCACATTTTTTTAATATATAATGTATAAATCAAAAATATGTTGGTAACAGACCATCAATCATCATTTTTATTTGGTTGGGTTTAAAGCCTATAATATGATGTATTTTTTTTTAATATTTTCTCTTGAATAAATATCATATTTAATTTTACTTATATGATGACAACATATATCATACTAATTAAATTTTACTAGTTTAACATATTTTTATTGATATAATTCTTACTTCAATTTATATATATAAACGATAAATTAATGATAAAATTATATTAATTTTAAACTGTAATGTAACTAAAAGTAAGTTTAATTTTAAATACTTATCAGTATCCATATAAAAGTACACTATCTATGTGTTTTACAACAATTATTAGGCAGCATGATTTCTTAAGAGAGTAATTTTATTTTAATTTCCTTGTTATAAGATTTAAACAAACGTGGTTTTACATATATAATTGGAAATTGATATATATTTTAAATTCGTATTTTGTTATACACACATTTAAGGAAATGATAAAATATTTTAGTCTAAGGAATGACGAGGGATGATGAGACATTTACTTTTTATTTATTTATTTATTCTTTCAAATAAAAAAATCATAGTTTCAATACTGGACAAATAGTTTGATTTGGACCATACACTTAGAATATAATTTCCAATTAGAATTTGTTTAACTTGTGGGCGAAGATATTTGCTGTTACTTTTTTTATTCTTCTTTATTTAACTGCTGCAATTATTTATCTAAAATAATCGAAAATACTAATTTTAAAAATTAGGGTAATTTTATCCATTTCATCGTAAAATGTCTGAAATTAAATGTGTACATAAAGAATGTCAACGATGTAACTCAAGTTGAGAAATTAAATTGAAATTTACAGATTGGAACTAAACCAATTAAACAATTAAAGGAAAAAAATATATTTATATTGGAAAATATTTAACTAATGTCTGTACGAACATCCAAGTTGGAACTTGGAACTATTTAGTTTCTGCTGCATGTTTCTATTAGTACTAAATTGCTTCAGCTTTTGGTTGTACAAGGTTTACTTCTTCATTTGGTTTTGAATGGATTCGGATCCCTCTTTTTGGTTTCTCTCCATTGCTTGATGTAGTTGTTGGTAACTTGTTGCCATGTTATGTTGATTAATTTCTGCTAATAGCAATTTTTTTTCAAAGTTGGTTCATGGTTTTGTCTCTTGTGTTGGACGTAGTCTGAACTAAGAACCCCATTAAAAAAATGCAATCATATTCTTCACAAACTCACTTCACAACATGCATTTCTTGCAATTGTTTTCCGTTTACAGTGATTGCTAATCAGTAGAGGTGTGAAGTGTTCCTTCAAGAAAATGGCACAGGATATTGACTTGAATGGAGATCCTAACAGCAAGCAACACTCCAAGAAGAGGAAGGAGGCCAATGAACCCGCTAAAACAGTACCCCTGTACAAGCTTTTCTCATTTGCTGATCCTTTGGATCATTTATTGATGCTTTTGGGGACTGTTGGTGCTGTTGGGAATGGAATCTCCTTGCCCTTGATGACTCTGATATTCGGAAATATGATCAATGCATTTGGAGGTACCAATAACTCCAAAGAAGTTGTTGATGAAGTTTCCAAGGTAGTTCCTCATTAATCCCTTTCACTAATACGAATTCGTATTGGTGAAGCTTGAGAAGTGTTTTTATGCTAGTAACATAACATTCTCGGACTAAACACTTCACAACAAATTGCTGTATTCAGGTGTCTCTGAAATTTGTATACTTGGGTGTCGGTACCTTTTTCGCGTCACTTTTGCGTAAGTATGCCATATTATCTGTTAGTTCTTACAATCTAACTGATTGGTATGACTGACTCATTGTGACCCGAAACGAAACCTTGTTTGCTATGTATCAGAGTTGACTTGCTGGATGATCACTGGAGAGAGACAAGCTGCAAGAATTAGAGGCTTATACCTTCAAGCTATTTTGAGGCAAGATGTCACCTTCTTTGATAAGGAAACTAGAACCGGAGAGGTTGTTGGAAGGATGTCAGGTGACACTGTTCTTATTCAAGAGGCCATGGGTGAGAAGGTATCAAGGAACCACCATACATCTCTAAAATAATCACCTTGTTTCAGGTAAACTTTGTTTCTTCATTGTTTTTCCCTTCATATCATTTCAGGTAGGACAGTTCTTGCAGTTCATGGCAACTTTCGTTGGAGGTTTTGTGATAGCATTTATCAGGGGATGGCTTCTAGCGGTTGTCATGCTATCTACTATTCCACCTCTTGCTTTCTGTGGTGCTATGGTAGGCCTGGTTATTTCAAAAGCATCATCCAGGGGACAAGAAGCTTATTCTGTAGCAGCAACTGTAGTAGAGCAGACAATTGGATTTATCAGAACTGTATGCACCCTAACTAAAAAAGAACCACTGCTTTTTTGCATTTTGATGTTGTTGATTATTAAATGACTTCCATTTATCCAACACAGGTTGCTTCATTCACTGGGGAGAAGCAAGCTATAGCTAAATATAACCAGTCCTTAATCAAAGCTTACAAGGCTGGATTGCAAGAAGCACTAGCTTCTGGTTTTGGGTTTGGTTCTCTCTATTTTGTTTTTACCAGCAGTTATGGTTTGGCTATATGGTTTGGTGCAAAAATGATAATAGAGAAAGGGTATACAGGAGGAGAGGTTGTGACAGTAATGATGGCTGTATTGACTGGCTCCATGTAAGTTTTGTGTGTGTTTCTCTTTCTCAATGTGAGCCTATAATTTCTAAAATTGATTCCCTCCCCCAATCAGAAGATAGTCATATTATCCTATCTAACTATATTTCTAATCCCAGGTCTCTAGGGCAGGCATCTCCCAGCTTGAGCGCTTTCGCTGCTGGAAAAGCTGCTGCCTTTAAGATGTTTGAAACGATTAAGAGAAAGCCAGAAATTGATACTTATGACACTACGGGTCAGCAGCTTGATGACATTCGTGGAGATATCGAGTTTAGGGAGGTTTGCTTTAGTTATCCTACAAGACCAGATGAATTGATCTTCAATGGATTTTCTCTTTCAATACCAAGTGGCACTACGACAGCTTTGGTAGGGGAAAGTGGGAGTGGGAAATCTACAGTTGTTAGTTTGATAGAGAGATTTTATGATCCACAAACGGGTGAAGTTCTCATTGACAGCATCAATCTCAAAGAGTTTCAACTGAAGTGGATCAGACAGAAAATAGGCCTCGTTAGCCAGGAACCAGTTCTCTTTACTTGCAGTATTAAAGATAATATTGCCTATGGCAAGGATGGTGCAACTGATGAGGAAATCAGAGCTGCAGCAGAAGTAGCCAATGCTGCAAAATTTATAGATAAACTTCCTCAGGTCAACCCTTGAATGTCGATTTAAATGTAAAAAATGCACAGCAATAAACAGTTTGAAATATTAGACTTAAGTAAGAAAAATCTCACTTCTATCATTATAGTGATGTTCCTTTAACCTTGGTAATTTTATATATTTATGAACGTAGGGAGTAGACACATTGGTTGGTGAGCACGGAACTCAACTATCTGGGGGTCAAAAGCAGAGAGTTGCAATAGCAAGAGCAATTTTGAAAGATCCAAGAGTCCTACTTCTGGATGAAGCTACTAGTGCTCTTGATGCTGAATCTGAGAAAATTGTGCAGGAGGCATTGGACAGAATAATGATAAACAGAACAACTGTCATTGTTGCTCACCGCTTGAGTACTATAAGGAATGCTGATAGCATTGCTGTTATTCATCGAGGAAAAATAGTTGAAAGAGGTAGACAAAGCATGCTGTAATAGAAATTCTCAAATTTTTATATACTTTAGTGTTGTTATGTTTTTCCTTGATCAGGTTCACATGCTGAGCTTACCAAGGATCCTAATGGAGCCTATAGCCAGCTCATTAGACTTCAAGAAATTAAAGGATCAGAACAAAAGGCTCAAAATGACAGAGACAAGCTAGAAAGTATAGTGCATTCTGGAAGACAATCAAGTCAAAGATCTATAAGCCAAAGGTCTTCAGGAGATGGAAGCAGTGGTCGTAACTCATTCTCAGCATCTCTTGGTGTGCCAGTATCAGTTGGCTTCTTGGAACCTGCAAGTGGAGAACCTCTAACACCTCCTTCAACTTCACCACCGGAAGTGCCACTCTACCGCCTGGCATATTTAAACAAGCCAGAGATTCTAGTCTTACTGGCAGGGACCGTAACTGCAGTAGTAAATGGAGTTTTATTACCCGTTATTGCAATCTTTATATCCAAAATGATAAGTATTTTCTATGAGCCAGCTCATGAACTCCGTAAAGATTCAAAACTCTGGGCGTTGCTATTTGTTGCACTTGGTTTGGTATCGCTAACCATGCTTCCATGTAGATTCTACCTTTTTGGTGTTGCTGGTGGTAAGTTGATAAAAAGGATTCGGAATATGTGTTTCGAGAAAGTAGTTCATATGGAAGTTAGCTGGTTCGACGAAGCTGAACATTCAAGTGGAGCAATTGGAGCAAGGCTCTCTTCTGATGCAGCTGCTGTTCGAGCTTTGGTTGGGGATGCACTTGGTTTGCTGGTTCAAAATATTGCTACAGCTGTCGGCAGTTTGGTAGTTGCTTTTGATGCATGCTGGCAGCTTGCTTTTATAGTGCTTGCTTTAGCACCTCTTTTAGGACTAAATGGATACGTGCAATTTAAGTTCTTGAAAGGATTCAGCAATGATACAAAGGTTTGTTTTTAATTTCCTCTAGTCTAAAAACTAAATTTGTGAATAAGGAAATACCTATGTTTTCAACTTCAGGGAAAATGGGATTTGGATTCATTTTCACTTTTTGGCACCACACTGAGAAGGGTGAAAAAATTACTGTATGGACATCAGAACTGGATCAACAGTGTGACAAGCACGTGTTCTTAATGTGCTTTTGACCAGTATATTATCTGTATTAATGTTCTATTTACTAAACAGAAACTGTATGAGGAAGCAAGTCAAGTGGCAAATGATGCTGTAGGCAGTATAAGAACAGTTGCTTCATTCTGTGCTGAAAAGAAGGTGATGGAATTATACCAGGAAAAATGTGAAGGACCAATTAAGACAGGCATAAGGCGAGGGATAATAAGTGGAATTAGTTATGGGGTATCATTCTTCATGCTTTATGCAGTTTATGCATGCAGTTTTTATGCTGGAGCTCGACTAGTAGAGGATGGAAAATCAACATTCTCAGATGTTTTCCGTGTAAGTTACTCTCCTAACTTGTTCACCAAGTCAAATTTCCATCTCTTTTCTTCTTGTCATCACAATTACTGCTAGGCTATTGTTCACTGAGATAGGATGGTTCTGTGGACGATCTTTCGCTGTTTTTATTGTACTAAATGTTATTGATTCCTGATTTCCAGGTCTTTTTTGCATTCAGCATGGCAGCTCTGGGAATCTCTCAATCTAGCTCTTTGGTCCCTGATTCAACTAACTCAAAAAGTGCTGCGGCTTCTGTATTTGCTATTCTTGATCGAAAGTCACAAATTGACCCAAGTGATGACTCAGGTTGGACATTGGAAGAAGTGAAGGGAGAGATTGAATTTAACCATGTCAGTTTCAAGTATCCTACCAGACCTGATGTTCAAATATTCAGAGATCTTTGCTTGACTATTCATAGTGGCAAGGTAACTCTCTAATCGTGCATCTTGTCTGATAGAATACATTGTTCTTCCTAAACTAATAGATTGATTGGTTATACTGATAAAATAAACAGACAGTTGCACTGGTTGGTGAAAGTGGAAGTGGAAAATCAACAGTGATCTCATTATTGCTGAGGTTTTATGATCCAGACTCAGGTCACATTACACTGGATGGAAAAGAAATCCAAAGGATGCAAGTTAAATGGCTAAGACAACAGATGGGCCTGGTGAGCCAAGAACCAGTGCTGTTTAATGACACCATCCGCGCCAATATTGCATATGGCAAGGGCGGGGATGCAACAGAGGCAGAAATTAGAGCTGCAGCAGAACTTGCAAATGCTCACAACTTCACTAGTAGTTTGCAGGAGGTAAATTACATGGTGTCCTATTAACTCATTTCTCTTAAAGACTAGTGCAACTGGTTTATGTCAAAGTTCTGCATCAGTACAAGTGTTTTTGATACCATACGGTTTTATGAACAAGGTATGAATTGTTGAGAGTAATATTTTACACATGCAGGGTTATGACACAATAGTAGGGGAGAGAGGGATTCAACTATCTGGAGGGCAGAAGCAGCGGGTGGCAATTGCTCGAGCTATAGTGAAGAATCCAAAGATATTACTACTTGATGAAGCTACAAGTGCTCTTGATGCTGAGTCTGAAAAAGTGGTTCAGAATGCACTGGACCGTGTTATGGTGAACAGAACGACTATAGTAGTCGCTCATAGATTATCCACTATAAAGGGTGCGGATTTAATTGCAGTAGTTAAAAATGGTGTGATAGCAGAGAAGGGAAAACATGAAGCATTACTCAGAAAGGAAGGTGATTATGCTTCCTTAGTTGCATTGCATACAAGTGCTTCTACATCTTAGGGCCTCCTTCCAATTCTTGCCTGATTGTGTCTGAGCAAAATTTACTTGCTTGGCTTTTTTGTGCTTCTCAATGATGAATCAAGTCTAAATGTCACACTTGTGGCTTTATTTACGTTTACCATGCTGTTTGTTTTTGAATTGTTTACAGAGTTTTAATGGTTTTCCTAACACCTCTGTATTGTATTTTCCTGAAAGTAGTGTAAAAACGTGTTTCTGCTATTTTTTTAAAATACTCTTAATTTAAAAAATGATGAGGATGTTGTTATTAAAGATGGTGATAGTATGATTATAATTTGAATGAGGAACTATTTGATCAAGTAACATGTAATAATGAGTTGGAGTGTTCAAGAAAGACAATTTAGAAGTGGTTGGAGCTGCATATGATATATATACAGCCAAGAATGTTACCACCACCAATCAAGCGTGCACAACAATTGAAAAGTAGATTTCAATGATTTTCGTACGATAATGACACCAATTACAAACATAACAGCTACTAAGTGATAGTATAAATTAGTTTGATATAAAATTTAATTATTTTAAAGTAAATAACAATTATTTGTTTTAATATCTAATGGTTAAATTAGTTATTATTTTACATCAATAAAATATTAAACAAAATTGAATGATTAATAAAAAAAACAAGTTTTTAATCTTTATTTTAGAATTGAATGGGTTCATTATTTTATAATTTATATATTAATTTTTTATATTTTAAATAATTTTTTAATATAATTTATATTTTAAAAATATATTTTTTAATTAATTATTTTAGTATAAACACTTTATTTATTTATTTTTTAATTTTCAATCCTACTAAAATTAATCCGTTGAGTCATTTATTTAATATAAAATTATACTAAATTAAAAATTATTATTTATTTTAAAATATAGATTAAAATGAATCATCAACCTCTTTTTTATTTGACTTGAATTTGACAAACCTACTCTGATAAGATGTATAAATGATAATTATTATATAAAAATATTTATTTTTTCATAACTATATCTAAAAAGGGTTTCACCACAAGGAATTTTATAATTAGCTAGGAAAATTAGCTATAAAATTTATTTTTCACTAATTTGTAGCTAATTAGCTATGAAATAGTGAAATAATAAAGTTGTAGCTAATTTGTAGTAAAATAACTAGAAGACTAATATTTTTGTAGCTATTCTCTCACTTAGCAAAAAAATAATTTAGTTAGGAAAATTTTTGTCACTAATCCCTCACTATAAATATTAGCTATATAACTTTTTGAAGCTATTTCCTAGCTAAATTATGTAACATACAATTATAGTTAAATTGTAGCAAATTTATAGCAAATATCAAATTGAAAAAAATATTAAATTATTGGAAACCATTCTTATAAATTATTTTAGTTTTATAAAAAATTATTTATAATACTTGTAAATTTCTCTACAAATATATAATTATAAAAAATAATTTTTGATCTTTTTGAAAAAAATATCAATAAAAATTAATTACAATTTTTTCTTAAAAAATTATTTTTACCAAATTTACTATAAATATATAATTATATATATATATAAATTATTTTTTTATCTAAAATAAATTATTTAGAAATAATTATAATTTTTTTTGAAAAAATATCTAAAAAAATTGATAAATATTTAAAATTATTTTTGTAAGTTTTTTATAAATTTAAATTTGTTAGAAATATTTAATAATATTTAAATTAATAGAAAAATTTAATAAATAATATTTTTTTATAATTTTTTTAAAAACTATTCTTTATAAGAAATAAAAAAAATTATATTCAGAAATACTAATTTATTTATTTTTTTATAATTCTTTTAATAAAAATCTAAATTATTTTTTTTTCATCTTCTTCATACTTAATTTTCTCAAACCTAACGCATCGTCGCCTCTGTCTCTCCGTCGTTGCTCCTTCCCTTGCAGCTCCTCGCACTGTTGTCGCTCCTCTGCCGTCGCTGCCGTTCCTTGCCCTCGCTGCTGCCGCCTCCATCCATCGCTGTTGCCGCTGTCGCTCTCGCGCGCTCCCTCGTCGCTCTTGCTCCAGCTCCCGTGTCTGTCCTGTGCTGCGGTGTTTTTGGTTTTGTTTAAGCGTGCAAAATGTATTCTGTGGTTTTATAAATATTGTAATAATTTTGTTTCAGGGCTTATGATCGTGCCTGCGATCAAGTTCCGCGGGTTGATGCGGACATCAATTTTAACGTTAGTGACTACGATGAGGATATAAAGCAGGTTGTGAGTACTGAACACCGAATTGGTTTTCGTGTGTTGGTTGTTTAAGAAGCTTGAATGGAATTTTGTAATTGTGGATTTGATTTTCGATTATTGCGATGTGCAGATGAGTAATTTCACGAAGGACGAGTTTGTGCATATTCTACGTCGACAAAGCACTCGGTTTTTCAAGGGGAAGCTCCAAATACAGGGGAGTTACTCGCATAAGTGCGGGCGATGGGAAGCTCGTATGGGGCAGTTTCTGGGTAAAAAGTGAGAAAACAAATATATTTGGTTGAATTAAGTGATGGATGAACTTCACATGCTCTACCCATTTTTTCATTAGTTTTCGATTTTACTATGAATTAAGTGAGATTGTGTAGGCTGGTTTAGTTGGTGATAGATCAGAATTCAATTTTAAAGTTGTCCAGGGTATATATATATATATATATATATATATATATATATATATATATATATATATATATATATATACTTGGGCTATTTGACAATGAGTTAGAGGTCGCAAGGTTTTACCAATCGTATATCAGAATATCTCTCAGACTAAATTCCTAAACATTTTGGATTCCATGTATATACAAACACACGCATAGTGTACTATTTTTGGAAGAGAATCTAGGTTGAATTGGTATGGTATCAGTTAGGACATGTTTGTTGCATACGAGGAAAAATGACATTCTTAAAAGAAATACATGACATCCCTAAAATACTACTACGATCGGAAACGTTATTTTATAGACAAACTAGGGTGTAAATATGTGTTGGATAGATGGAGAACAAATATTCAGAGGAAGCATGTTTATATAAAAACGAGCTATGGTGTCAGCATTTTGAACTGTTATGCAATCAATTCAATAGTATTGTTGTTTCTGTTGCTGAATTTGAGGGTACAAGTTCTTTTGTGAAGGATACCCTATATAACTTAAAGGAAAAACTCGAAGCATGGACATCATTACTGAGAAACTCTTCTCATGTCGACGTAGAGAAAGGCAAATAATATGATAGATTGGACATGAAGTTTTCAAGGATTTAATATTACTTCAATTAATGTAAATATGACTAACTGTAATTGTAAAAATTATCTTATGGATTTTCGTTATCATAGATTCTTAAAATTTTTGAATGGTTACTTTTGATGCTTTTTAATTATATCTAACTAGTTTTCGTGCAATACAGAGGGACATATGCAAAGAATTTTTAAGATACTTTAGCAATTGTATTAATGATATATATCTATATTCAAATTAATAAGAGAACAAATAAAATCCGGGTAGCTGTTAAATAACTACCCGGATTTAAAACACTAGTTGAAACCAAGTTTTATTCATCTGCCAAGAATCAGCATTTTCAGTCTACTTGATTGGCTACTGAAAAGCTTCAGTTACTATACACATCAGTTGTTTGCATGTTTACGCTAATAACTTTTTGATATATTCAAAATCAAATTTTTTTTTCTTAAATTGCAGGTTGAGGCACATCCTAGGCAGGTTGGTTACAAACAACTTTGGTTTCATCACTTGTTATTTTACTCTATCTGATATTCTTCTCATTTCATAGCTGCATAATTGGGTTGGGGGTCCTCCTAATCTCTATGATATAAGTGGAAGTGCACACTTCATAAATAAGTGTGACAATGGAATTGTTATTCACCGAAATCGGGATCCTGAAGCTGGGCCTATGGACCAAGTACAGGTGAGTGATTGCAGCATAATTGTGCTTATTATTGTATCATAATAAACAAAATACACTGACTTAGGCTTGTCTTAGGTATGTGTTCGAAAGGTACGGAACAAGGTGGCAGGGACAATAGGTGAAGCCATATTGTTGTATAATAGGTAAATATATTTTGCCTAGACTACTGTGTTAACATAAATTCACCTATTTTTTAATAAGTAGAGTTTCATTATACTGGAGTACATGATCGGGGATTATGATGAAACTTATCGTAATCTCTTCACTCTTAGTGTGAATATAATGGATAGAGTTGGCTCTCTTGCAAAAGATTTTATCCTCATAAACCCTTCAGACTGTGCTACTCCAGTGAAGCACTCTAAACTAGAAAAGTGAGTTCACACCAACAGATAACGAATTTTCTTTGGCAAATGACAGGACAACTGGTGAGTATACACCATTAGATAACAAGAGATCAACTGATAGAAGGAACTAGCAGTGAGACAAATGATTTTTCAGTAGGCTTGTATAGTGGTCAACAACAACTACGTCTTACAATGAAGTTAACATCTGATACTCGGATCGTGTCTAAACATGGCCATAATGTTTTCATTGGGGTGCCAGGTCGAGATCAACAATGCTGAATAGCATCCTTAACATGGTCGGTTGTAGAATATCATTGTTTTGGCTTCATTATTTGAAAATCTTGTATCCTATAGCTGTCCTTTTATACTTGTTACGATCACATCTTGATTTTATTTTCAAGTATTGCATCTTAATCCTTGTATACTGATAGAGAGATTTCTTTGTCGGATACCCTATTCTAGACTTGTCTTTAGTAAAAACATTCATTCTAATTCTTGATGGTATAAATTGTTATTTGCTTTGGTCCTTTTCTATTTTATAAATTGTGATAATAGATTATGTGCAAATGATAAAAAAATTAACTGAAATAGATTTTATTAAATCAGAGAGAAATGTAATTGACATTTACAATTTCAGAAACTAAATTGAGGATTTACTCGGTGAAGGGTAATACATCCTAGGCAGGTTGAGGCAAGATGACAAGTGGGAACATGATTTCTTTAGCGATGGTGAATCACGGATCACTAGTATGAATAATGTTATTCTCATAGGCAACTTTACGTTGCTACTTTTGATGGATGACAATAGCTAATTTTTTTTTTTTTTTACTTGTTAATGCTTGTGATTGTGAAGATCGCAAAGTTAGAGCTCAAGATCTACACCTCAAGCTTCAAAGGAAAGGTCTTCAATCTGCATCTCAAAGCGGAAAGAGTTATGCTCCAAACATGCGTGTTCTCCGTGAAAGGCTAACAGGAACAATGACAGTACAACCTACAAATGTCGATCTGCCAAAATCAAAAGTTGTTAAACCAAGCAGTAAAAATGTTGGTGTTGAGGTCCCTGCAGGTACAGATCAAAAGGCCATGAAACAACAAATACAAGGAAAAATGCAGTCTTTGAAGAAAGATTAATTATCTCGCCTTAAAGAAACAATGATAAAAATGGATTTTAAACTTTGTTTTTATTTTTAATTGTGTTATACAAAAATTTTTAGTTGAAATATTATTTTTGTTATGTTTTAATTATTTAAAACATCATTTTAACTATGTTTAAACAATACTTTTATATTGAAAGTTGATAAGTTTGTCTTCTTTTTTAAGAATGAGTAATAATTTAAATCTTAAATATTTGATATTATAAATTTTGATAAAAATTATGAGGGATTAGCTATGAAATAGCGAGAGAAACATTGTAAAAGATTAGCTACGGATTAGTGAGGAAATAATTACGAGACATTAACCATATATTAGCTAGAGATAAATTGTCAGGGATTAGCTACAGATTAGCGAGAGAAAAATTGCTAGGGATTAACTACGAATTAGTGAGAGAAAAATTGCGAGGGATTAGCTACGGATTAGCGAGAGAAAATTTGCGAGGGATTAGCTACGAATTAGCGAGAGCGAAATTGCAAGGGATTAGCTACGGATTAGCGAGAGCGAAATTGCGAGAGATTAGCTACGGATTAGCTACAAGTTTTGGGAGATCAAATTAGCTAGAGATAAACAAAATTTCATCATTTTAATTAGCGAGGGATTTAGCGACAGTTTAGCGACAAAATTTGCTACAAGTTTGAGAGAGAATACATCTGTATCTAATTAGCTACTTGGATTTAGCTACGGACTATTCCATAGCTATTCCGTAGCTAATCTGTAGCAAAACATACCAGCGAGAGATTAACTATAAAATAGCTACTGAATGTGTCATAGCTAATATGTAAAATTCTTGTAGTGTTTAATTATGTTTTAGAAAACCTTTTACACTTAAAAAATTGTATATTATTATTATTATTATAATTATTATTATTATTATTATTATTTTATAAGCTTATTTTTTTTAAATATCTTTTTTAATATATTTGACTCTACTATATGTAGTTATTAGCTAATAATCAAAATCCTCTAACTCTTAAATACTAATATTCTTTCATGACACTAGTGGAAAAATAGCATTCTATGATGAGTTTTTATCACGGTCGTAGTCCACCCGTCATAGTATGTAGCGCGGTGGCAATTTTGTAATAAAATCATAAACTTTCTATGTCTGGTAAATTTTAACCGACATAGTAAGTGGAAAGTTCACTTTCTATGTCGGTTAAATATTACCCGACATAGAAAGTTCACTTTCTATGTCGGGTAAGATTTACCCGACATAGAAAGTTAACTTTCTATGTCGGGTAACATTTAACCGACATAGAAAGTGTCTTTGATGACGGGTGTTAGGACAACCGACATAGTATCTTCCTGCTCCAACGCTCCATTTCATGTCATCACTTCACCCATAGCAGAGCTCCCCGTTCGCCTGTGTACGTTTCTCCCTACGCTCCATTTCATTTCATCAGTTCACCCATAGCAGAGCTCCCCGTTCGCCTGTGTACGTTTCTCCGCACCCACATTTGCTCGTCACGCCACTTGCCAACGGTGTACGTCGTGCCACCTGCTGCTACTGTCGTTGGTGCCCGTCGCCTGTGATACGTTTCTCCCCACCCGGCTCTGCACGTCACGCCACCTGCCACCTCTGTAGGTCTTCAAGAGGTAAGTTTTCGTGCTTGCTTTAGCCATTGTAGGTTTACAGTATTGAATCTGGTAAGTAATAATGCTGTCAAGAGAGGGAAACATCACGGGTGCCTTTAGCTAATTTAGAGATGTATTGTAAGTAGTTTAATCATTTGAATGTGTTTCTGTAGGCATTCTTTAGTGATTTTGATTTTGAAAATTAGATTTGTATTATAATGTAGTTATTTTGAGAGTGAAGTTGGATTTCGTGTAGGCATTATAATGTAGTTATTTCGTGTTTCTGTAGCTAATTTGATTTTGAAAATTAGATTTGTAACAATGGATCGGAGTTGGATCAATTATAGACGAACAACAAATGAATATGAGAGTGGAGTAGAACAACAAATGTTCATGGCATCTCAGGCAAAACAAGTGTTTTATGTCACTGATCCCGCTAACAAAGGATGGTCAGTGGTTCTACAAGGAAAACCCATGTATACTTCTGATGAGAATGATGAATTAGTACTTGATATACCAGAGACACCATGTTTCTCTTCAAATATGCCAAACTTGAGTGTTAATGTAGAAATAGATGATGTGCATGCCATACGTTATGACCATATGGAAGGATTTTGGGAGAATGTTCCAACTTGATAATGTATGCACTTTTTTTAATGTATTATTTTTTAATGTAAGCACTTTTTTGTCTAAACTAATAACTATTATTTTTTTCTTTGAACACAGATATGGCAGATTCATCTGGTACCCCTCCTCCTACACAGTCCCCCCCTCCTACACAAGGTGGTGATCAGAGTCAGCCGTCTACTAGGAAAAAGGGTAGGCGTGTTACACGGTTGAGGGAGTTGAATATCAGTCGTAGCTCCGATCAGAAATTGCCTATCCAGTTTGACATGCAAACAGGTAGAGCCACAAGAGAGCACAATGCTAGATTCACTAGCTATGTGGCCTTGCTTGGGAGAAGCAAGGTTAGTATTCTTATTGAGGATTGGGACCATGTTCCAGAGACACTGAAGAACCAGATTTGGCAGAGTATATTGGTACCTACTCTTATTAAGCATTTAACATGTATATATATTTAACTTTTTGGGAACTTCATGTTATTTTTATTGTGTAGGTCACATATGATGTCCATAACACCACTTTGTTGAGGACAAAGTGGATCTCATATGCTGGGGAACGCTGGAGAGGTTTTAAGAGTGATCTGACTAGTCGATACATATATGGGGCATTGAGCAACAAGAACCCATGTGACCAGTATCAGTTTTTGGATGAGGAGACATGGCAGGCATTTCGGACTCAGCGTTTAGACGCTAGCTTTCAGGTTAGCACATTTGTCATTTGTTTGCAGTCATTTTTTTTAAATAGAGGTTTTAAATTTGGTATTTAACATGGAATGCAACAGGCCAAGCGGCAGAAGGCACAGGATATTCAGAGAAAGAATATCCACCCCCACAGAGTTGTCTCGTGGGGGTTATGAGAAATTGGAGGAGAAGATGATGAAGGAGACTTCTTCAAGTCTACCTTCGAGATGACTCGGTTGTGAGTTCCGTCACCCGCCCTTCATGCCATGATAAATGGAAGAGAGCTCACCGTAACTCATCGAGGAATTACTTATCTGAGCAAACTAATGTTGTTGCTCAACGTATTGTAAGTAGCATATCCTAAACTAATTATATATGTTATACTACAATAGGCAATATGTATTTGCTAAAAAATCATTCCTTTGTGTTGTAGGATGAGTTGGTTGAGCAAAACACTCAGGGATCATTCCACTCACATGACCGTCAGGATATATTGGCAGTGGCCATTGGTACCCCAGAGCATCCTGGACGTGTTCGTGGTGTTGGACGAGGGGTGGGCATCGACAAGTACTTTGGTGCCCCATCCGTGGAAACTCCTTCTTTGAGGCATCTCGAATGAGTAAGAGTTTGAGTCCCTCAAACAACAAATTAGGAAGGAGATTCGAGATGAGGTGTACTCGACTTGAAGGCAGAGTTATTGAGCTCAATGCGAGCGAGTTGGCATCTTTGTCCTCTCAACCTTCCGTCCCCGCACGAGAGGCATCCCCGATTCATGTCGGCACAAAGGAGAGTTGTGATGCTCCCGATAGAGGGGCAGAGGTTGCTCCTACCGACATCGCTGATCGTGAGTTGTATGTTGCGGGTCCTCCCGAGCATTTGGTGGCATACGGTACGTATTATATCTTTGACATGTATTTGGTACAGTGTTAAGCATTATATAGTCTAAAATATTTTATCCTTTGTTTACCTTAGGGAAAATGTATGCATTGGGGTCAACCATCCACCACCGAGTATTGGAGATGATATGATAAGAGTGGTGGTTGTAGATGTCCGGGATGCTGCTCGCCCTAATCTCTATTCCCACTGAAGAGGTTCAAACAAGTGGGACAGGCACCTGAAAATTTTATCTTATGGCCAGCTTCATTAACAAGACCCATCCCAACACATGCACAGAGTTGATTTATGCATTGAACGATAGTACTTATTATTTTTTGATAGGTTGATGTATATTAATGTTATTGATTTTTGGTACTTGTATAGAAAGATGCTGAAAAAGCAAAGGAAGTTGTGCATGAATCACCACCACCACCATCTCGCTTTACAGCGAGTCGGTGCACTCGGCAGCGACTATCTGGACCACTTCCATACAGTTAGATATGCCACCCGAAGTCGTATGCAGGACCAAGACGATCCCTTTTTTCTTACTCCAAAGGGATATTTTTGATATTCTCACTGGTATCGATATGCTATGTGTATCGGTGTTGCAGCTTTGGGAAATGTAAGTATATTTACATATTTTTTATATTCTCACTGGTACATTATTTTATAACTTTATTTATTTTCAATGTTGAAGGTATTTACATCGTTTGTGTGTTGAGAGGAAGATCCGCTTTCTCTATGGATTTGTTGACCCTGCTGCCATTCGACCCATTGGGAATAAAGTCGAAGAGGTGCAAACGTACTTAATAGAGGCATTTCAAACTGGGGCAAAGAAGTCTACTTAGCACCTTACTTGCATCGTAAGTATACATCTTATAAATTAATGCACATTTATGTAAAACTGAAATTTTACTAATATTATTTCAACGTGCAGGGGTCATCTGCAGTCTCATAATCATTGTTCCTCGGCAATTTCTTGTGATTCTCTTGTGTTCATTACACAAGAAACCAAATGATTTGGATATTAGAAAGCACATAGATGCGTAAGTTTGGTTTTTTTAATTGTTGTATCATATGTGCACTACTTACACCAAAATTATTTGTCCTTTTGTAGAGCTTTGGAAGCTCACCTAAGGTTGCAAGATCTTCCATCTCATGCTAGAAAGAAGTTGACGTATATTGCACCAAAGGTGACCAAACACCTCTTACTGTTGTTCA